CAGAGTCTTTATTCTTCTCCACTCTGTCCAGTAACACCCTTAATATCGAGATTACACTCTCACCCTCTGTTTCTGTTATTCAAGCCACTAGTGCCCTATCTAAACAATGGCTGTTTCTCTTGAAAAGTGAAGTAGTAGGTGATGTTGCCATAATTGGATTGTCCTCATGGACATCCTATGTGAGAGTGTGTTGTGTGTGAGACACATACTGACTTGATCATCAAGTCATGAAGACAAAGGGTGTTATGTCTGCACTCATGGAGATCATTGGGATAAAGACACTGAACATGCAACAATCTCTTCTGTAACAAAACTGGACTTAGAGTTATTCCACTTCACCCCAAAACTCTTCAATTAATTGGAGTTTTTCTTGATTTTCTATGCCTTAGTTTCCTCATTTTTAACAATGGAGATCATAATCACACCTAACTCATAGGGATTAGTGAAGGATTGAGTTAATACATGTAAAGCATTTAAAACAGTACCTGGGGCAGGGGATATAGCTCAGTGGTAGAGCACATGCTGAGCATGCTTGAGGTCCTGAGTTAAATGTCCCACACCTCCATTTAAAAAAAAAAGACGTGAAACAAAAAGGGAAAAACTACCAAAAAAAAAAAGTACCTGGTAGAGAGTAAATGCTCAATGGCAATGTTTCTGCCCATTCTGGACTCCTCTCTTATGGGAAATGCAAATGGTTTGGGAAAATATTTTTTATCACAGCTGCATTCAGACAATGCATAAGCATATTCTTGGGTTATCCCTTAATGAAAAGCACCTTTAGCTAACCTATTACACCCTTCAACTTAATGTTTTATCTGCCACCAACACTGAAAAGAATTTCCTACACCTGCCTAGCTCCAAAGATGGTATGTCTGAATCTCCATAAGGTTAGGGGTAGATTTAAAGCACAAAATGACAAAAAAAAAAAAAAACCAAAACAGATGTTTCCTTTCTTTTCCTCCCCTAACAAGGGCTGAAGCAAAATGATGTGTATTTGTCCAAAGAGATAACCATGTATGTACCACTTTGGTTAATGAGAACTACTCACTCCCCAGATTTCTTAGTAATCAGGGTTGTACCTTATTTGGCTTTGGATAACACCTTGTATTTTACCTTCTCCTTATTTCACTTAGACTTGATTTAAATTGGACTGCATTTTCTGAGTACAGAGTGTGTGCTGAGTGATGGTAAATCTTCGACCCATGATTAAGACGTCTTTTAATGATATAAATGTATGGCTGTATATGCATATGAAGACTGTGATTTTTCCAATGATTTGACTTTGTCTTTAATGGGATATGTTCACTGATGTTTTTCAGCAAACAAACAATGATGGAGCAGGTCAGTCTGCAGCAGGCATCAGAACAAATGAACATTTCTGGAGAGCCCAAGAGCCGCTCATCACCTAAGAGAAGGCGAAGTATGTCACCATGGTTAAGCAAACAGGAAGGGGAGGGTGAACCCCGTCTCTAGGGTTCAGCCATGTCAAAGGAAGCTTATAGTTATGCCCTTGAAGGATGGACAGATGTGAGCATGTTTCCAAGTAGAGGGGCAAGGCTCTATTTAGGTCCAATCATTCAGAGTTGCTGCAAGAGTCCAAATAAAAAGGTTCCTAAGGCAGAAGGAGATGATGGGCTCAACAAGACGATGGGTCGGCTCCCATCCTGCCTGTCTTCACACTCTGTTCGTGCTCTAGCCCAGTGCAGGCTGGCTGCTTCTTATTGTACTTCAGTGAGACTGTTAGCGTCAAGGTGACCAGTATTTGCTGCACTTTGGCATTAATTTCTCAGCAGCATGTGATACAGCTGTTTCACTTCCTCTTTGATGGAAAACTTTTAGGGTCCCCAGACACCACATTCTCCTGGATTCCTGGCCCCTTGCTAGTGACTCATTTTCTGTCTCCCTTTTCTGTTTTTTGTTTTGTTTTGTTTTGTTTTTTCCTCTTCCTTCCTGCTTCTAAGTATTGCAGGGACCCAAAGCTGGATATTGGGCCCTTTTCTCTTCAATCCGCTATCTCTCAAGATGATCTCATGCAGTCTTAGGGCTTTAACTATGATTCACACTACCAGAACTCTCACCTTTATACCTCTAGACCACAACTTGCTCCTGAACTTCAGATTCACATACAACTGCTTACATGGTATCTCCAATGGGTATCTACTACTTATCTAAAATTCCACTGGTTCTACATGTTTGATCTTCTGACATTTCCCCTCTCCAAAGATGCTCTACTTTCAGCCTTCTCGATCTCAGCTAGTAACACCATCCATCAGGTGTAACATACATAAGGGAGTAATAACTTGCTGTCCACGGGGGGGGACATGGGAAGCTTTAGAAGCCCCAGTACTTAAAGTCTGCAGATATGTATAGTATAAGTTGTCTCACCATGACCTAATTCAAGGTACCAGTGTGAGGTCACTGAAACAGAATCAGGAAAGTTTGGTCACAATCCATTCTTGCAAGCCGTGGCCTAGTACCTGCACACACTTGGTACTATTATCTTCCCAGTAGTTCAGGTTAAGACACTCAGATTCATTCGTGATTCCTCATATTTTCCTTTTGTTATTGTCTGACTTCCCATCCCTTAGCAAGTCCAGCTATTTGATGCCCCATATAAAACCTGCATCCCACCATTTCTCTCCATTACTCTATCATCATGTCACAAAGCTACTACTATAGCTTCTTAGCTTACATCTCTGCTTTCCCACTTGTCCCGGTCTAGCCCATTTTCTGCCCTGTAGTCAGAGTGATCATGTTGACACAGAAATCAGATCATGCCACGTTCATCTGGAAAACACATCATCACCTTTCCTGGGCACTCAGAACACAATCTGAACTCCCGACGCTGGTCCCCAAGCTCTGCAAGACCTGGCCCCGCCGCCCTCTCCTAACACGTGTCCTGTCGTCTCCTCCCTGCTCTCTCTGCCTCTGTCCTTTACTCTCCGGTCGCTGGCCAGTCTCCTCCCTGGGGCCCCGCGCTTGCCCTTACCGCGGCCTGGAGCTCTTGCTCTGCGTGTGCACAGGCTGGCTCTCTCTCCTCCTCCAGGCTCTGCCCACGGGACACCCCCTGAGAATCAGAAGGCCCTCCCCGACCACGTGGTCCACTGGGACTCCACTCCTCCTCTCTGTCTCAGCCCTGCCTGCTTCTTCCCTAACATGAGTTCACACTGTAATTGTTCTGTGGGATCATGGTACACTTACTGCCTGGCCTCCCCACGAGCATGTAGGTTCCAGAAGGGTGAGGATGGTTTCTCTCGGTCCTGTTGGCTCCTGCTCCCCAGCTCCTGGCACGGTGCCTGGCACAGAGGAGGAGGAGGAAGTGAAGGAGAGCTGCCAGACTTGGGAGTAAAAAGAATTTCACTCTTCTGAGACACAAAAGATGGACGAGGAGGATCCTGTACTGACAGGGATTTCTGGTGATGGAGTGTGAATATCAGACATCTTGACATCGAATGAGACTTTTAGCTTTTCAACTTGTAAAGGGCATTGAGGAGACAGTCAATCATAAGTGTCAGGGCTCTGTGAATGTATTCTTATTAGTTGAACTATCCAACTACATTTCTGTATGTATTGATAGTGCCAAGAGAGAAAAAGTGGTTTATTGTATGATCTTGTCTCAGCCTTATTTGTGGGATCTGATACCTGGTACATCCTCGTGCTTTCTGAAATAATTTCTTCAGAACTGCAGAACACAGGGATGTCTCTGTGATGGTGATAAAATGCATCTAACTCAGAGTTCAATCTCTTAATTTGGTTTCCAGCTGCTACTGTCACTCACGATGTCCACGAGGAGAAGACAGAAAATAATCAAACCCCACCTAATGGCTTCTTGCCAAAATCTGCTGCACCAGAGCTTATGAATATGGCAGCAGATGATCTTCCACCCAAGCAATTTGATTCTGTGTCTGATGACTTCACTAGTCTCAGCAAAGATGACCTAACTGACAAACCTGGTAGTAATACAGTTGAAAGAGGAACCCAGACCTGCAGTGTCTCCGTAGGTGATTCAAAAGCCACAGTAATGTCTTCAACGGGAACTGTGCCAAATACATTGCAAATAAGTCCTGCTATGGCACAGAAAATTAATGATGATATAAAATACCAATTAATGAAAGAAGTTCGGAGGTTTGGACGAAGTAAGTAGTGAAAGAATGTCTATTAATAAAACCACGGGAAGTCGCTCTTTTTTGTATGATTTAGAATAAACTGAGCCCACCTTTTAAACTCATCCTTTGACAGAATTGGGTTTTTACATGATTTAGGGTGGTTTTTCTTTACTTTGTCTAAAAATTCCTAATATACCTCTTAATTTTGGGGGGGTGGGCGTGGTTAATGTTTATGGCAGTTTCCTTAGTAGTGATGTGCAGGTGTTGTGACTTAAGCATTCAAAACAGAAACACGATGCAACATTCACGAAGAATAATTACTGAGCTAGTAGATGCGCTAAGATTGAGTTCTATACCAGCCTCATCTTTTTACAAATGCTGATTTTTTTTTTAATATCTTCAGAGTATGAAAGAATTTTCACTTTGCTTGAAGGAGTGCAAGGACCTCTTGAGGTCAAGAAACAATTTGTTGAATTTACCATCAAGGAAGCTAGAAGGTGAGTGTAAAAAAGAACTCTCTAATTTTGTTTTGAATGTAATTGCGCCCAGTGCTGAACAGGGGCAGGAACAGGCCTTGCTTTCCCCAAGCCCTGGCCCTCAGTCATAGCTCGTGCTATTTCCATAGGCATTTAGGTTGATATTATTTTACTCTAATTCATTTTCCCAAGCCCATGGGGCCTTCTAAGCTCACCATAGTCTGGGGCGGGCCTGGCCCTCAGCTGACGCTCTTGGTAATTTGTTGGACCGTATCTTCCCCTTAGGATACACTTTCTATTCCCAAGTAGGTCGTGAGCTCTGTTTTGTACCCACTAGTATGCCTTACACATTATCGAGGCTTTAGATATCTTCTGGTTAATTAAATGCCTCTTTATTTTCAGGTTTAAAAGAGGAGTCTTAATTCAGCAACTTGAGAAGTTCCTAGAAAAAGTAGAATCCGACCGTCTTGGCAACGGAGTTAATCACAAGAAAAACAGATAGTTGTGTTGCAAAGACGGATGAGAAGCAGGCACACTTTCTATGCTGCAGGATGGAATGAGATTTTGCTGAAGCTTCCTAAAAATGTCGGAGTCAAGAAAATTGCCTTCTAGAGGCTAAGAAAAAAAAGCAGTGGAGCCTTTCATTTTTATGGTTCTCTGTCAGTAAAAGCGGGGCTGTTGCCCTAAGTATTTGCCGTGAAAGTATAGCTCGTTGTTTCTTTGTTTGTTCGTCCTCTTACCCGAGGAGGGGGAGGTTATTAACTCATCATGCTACATAATATCACAGTCTTGGCTGCAGGTCACATGGTTGTAGCCGGTATTTATAACTGCCGTCTTTCACTACCCATTTCTTATTCCCTTTGCCCGGAGACCGCCCCTCAGCTGGTCATGGTTCTTTGCCTTGAAGGATGATCAAACCTTGATTGCTGAAAGGTCTGGGCCATTGCCATTAGGTGTCCTGCCTTCAATGAGTTGTTGTAATTTTCCACAAACTTTCATCAGAAGACACGAGAGACTAGTATGCTGGGAAAAAAACGGGTTAAAGCAAGTATTCTTTGTAACAAACGATCCGGTCGAGATAAATCAACTCTTCATTACGTAATTTTCTTATACACTTGTCTTATTTAAAATCTTCAATTGTCATATGGAATAGATTCTCCAAAAGCTGTATGCTGTTCTTGGCCTGGTTAACATCCTAAGTAAATCATTTTTATTTTATTGAAATTGACAGCAACAATGGAGTATTTTTACAATTTGTTTTACACGGTCCCTTCTTACTCTCTCACGCTCATTTTCACTACTTTCTGCACTGAATAATAAGCTATAGAAGACTGCAGTGAAAATTGCAATTACAAATGCAAAATAGACAGTCTTCTATTTTTGATATTTGTACAATCACAATAAAAGTGTGTAGGAACTGGTTTCTGCTGTAACACAAAAATTTTTTGTAAAAGCTGTCCAAATAGAGTAAACTCTTAGTTATATCTGAGTAAGATTTAAAACTTAAGTTTTTCTTTTGGGGGTTGCTTTTTAAAGTTCAACCCCTATCTGCTAAAGTAATCATTACTGTTGATAAGATAAGGGTGGAGAAACCTCATTCAATTTCATCTGTTAACCATTATGTGAACTTTATACACTTTACTACTTTCAAAGCTTTTTTTGTTAATTTTACTTATCAAGAGAAAGTATTTTTTAGCCCAAATATTCATATTTCATCATTTTTTTAAAATAGGCTTTCTTCTTTTTGATCAGTTTCAGTTTCACAACAGAATTGAGCAGAAAATGCAGAGTTTGCACATAGCCCTCCCCACCCCACATACATACTCCCCTACCCTCAACATCCCTCATCAGCGTTGGATATTTGATATAATCGATGAACCAGTGTGGGCACATTTTTATCAACCAAAGTCCATAGTTTACGTTAGGGTTCACTCTTGATGTTGTACATTCTATGGGCTTTGACAAATTCATAATGACATGCAGCCACCACTATAGTATCATACAGAATAATTTCATTTCCCTAAAAATCCCTTGTGCTCCATCTATTCGTTCCTCCCTCCCTCCCTCCCTCTCCCCAAACCCCTGGAAACCACGATCTTTTTATTGTTTCTGTAGCTGTGCCTTTTCCAGAATATCATCTGGTTGGAATCGTGTAGTTTGTAGCCTTTTCAGACTGGCTTCTTTCACTTAGTAACATGTCTTTTAAGTTTCTTCCATGTCATTTATGGCTTGATAGATCTTTTTTTTTCACTGCACATATATTTTTAAATTTACATATATGTAGTGTTCATTGTTTCTAAGAATTTTTAAAGCTTTAGCTTTTTTAATTTACATAGTTATCAAAGGAATAAAGACAACCACAATTTAAGAATTAAGTCAAAAAGATGCATACACCCTGCTATTAACAGCAACAGTATTTAGAATTGCCAAGATATGGAAGCATCCTAAGTGCACATCAATAGTTGAATAGATAATGGAGATGCAGCATATATATATATATACACACACACACACACACAATGAAATACAACTCACCCATAAGAAAGAAGGATATTTTGCCATTTGTGGCCCTTCATTCACTTTATTTTTCACTTCAAAAACCTGAATTTTATAACTGGCAGAGACATTTCCATTACATCAAAAACAACAAAATACCTAGAAACAAACCCAAACAAGGAGGTTACCTATACTGTGAAAACCAAAATGACACAAAGAAATGGAAAGATTTCTTGTGCTCTTGGATTGGAAGAATCAACACCATCAAAATGGCCACACTACCCAAAGCAATCCACAGATCTAGTGCAACCCCCATCAAAATACTCACTACATTCCTCATAGAACTAGTACAAACAATTCCAAAATTTATAAGGAACCACAAAAGATCCCGAACAGCCAAAGCAATCTTTTGTAGGTCTCTTTTTTTTCTCTTTCTTCTTTTTGTTCTCTTTTCTTATGCTTTGAAGACTAGAGAAGGTCCTTTAACATTTGTTGTAAAGCTGGTCTCGTGGTGCTGAAATCTTTTAGCTTTTTTTTTAATCTGTGAAGATTTTGATTTCTCCATCAAGTGTGAACGAGAGCCTTGCTGGATAGATATTCTTGGTTGTACGTTTCCCTCTTGCATCACTTTAAATATATCGTGCCACTCCCTTCTGGCCTGTAGAGTTTCTGCTGAAAAATCGGCTGATAACCTTATGGGAGTTCCTTTGTATGTTATTCGTTGCTTTTCTCTTGATAATTTTAATATTTTCTCCTTATTGTTGCCAATTTGATGACGATGTGCCTTGGTGTGTTCCTGTTTGGGTTGTTTCTATGTGGTACTCTCTGCGCTTCCAGGACTTAGGTGACTGTTTCTTTTCTCAAGTTGGGGAAGTTTTCGGTTTTTATCTCTACAGAAATTTTCTCATGTCCTTTCTCTCCCTGTTTTCTTTCTGGGACCCATACAATGTGAATATTAGAGCACTTCACATTGTCCCAGAGGTCTCTTAAACTATACTCATTCCTTTTTATTCTTTTTTCTGTTCTGAAGTAGTGATTTCCACGAATCTGTCTTCTAGCTCACTGATCCATTCTTCTGCCTCATTTAGTCTATTCTTAGTTCCTTCTAGTGTAGTGTTCATTTCAGTGATTTTATTCTTCAACTCTGTTTGGGTATTCTTTATATTTTACAACTCTTTGCTAAAAACTTCACTCTGTACATCTATACTCCTCTTGAGTTCTCTGAACATCCTGGCCATTGTTACTTTAAACTCTTTCTCAGATAAATTACCTGTCTCCTCATCGCTTATTTCTCCTTCTGGGATTTTACCTTGTGCCTTGGCCTGGGAGATATTCCTTTGCTGCCTCATATTGTCTATCTTTCTATGTATTTGTGGATTCTGTCCACAGGCTTTTGGGATTATTGTTTTCTTATTTCTATTATCTGCCCCTGG